GGTAAAAATTTTAGACATTATTTACTTAGTACAATAACAAGATATAAGGCTTGAAATATTCACTTTATATATCAAAAACATATGTGTAACATATTTTGCAAAGATCATCACTCAAAAAAATTTATTATACTTATACCCGGTTTTTGCTAGAAAACCCCCCATATATATATATATTAATATTAATATCGATAAGTCTTTAAAAATGCATCAAAAACCATATATTGAAATTGCAAAAATGATACTGTTTTTGCAATCTACATAACCTAAGCAATAATATAACAGTGATTTTTAATCAATAAAAGAAAAGTTATAAGGGTTTAATGATGACCAACACTTTAGTATGTTTGGCGCAAATAAGTAAACTCTTCCTACTAAGTTAAATAGTAAAAATGTAGATGTTATACTTGTGTTGCTCGGGGGAAAATTTCTTGTAGTATAATTAGTATTTAGGGGCCCTGTTTAAAATCACATCTCTTTTCGAAAGATCTCTAAAATAATCAAAATTACTTCCGTTGGTATTATTACTCATGGGGAAAAGGGATGAGTTTGCTGCTTCATTGCAGAGACAATGAATTTCTGCGACGTTTAAAAACATTATTTCTGCCCAAGTTCTTCTGCCTATTTTATTTCAATTCTGCTTAATTTACTATAAAATCTTGTGAATAAAACAAATAATTTTTATTCGAAATTTCTAAATCTTTGAAGTTTCATAACTTTTAATAAGTGGTGGATCTGTGGATCAATATGTAGAGAAGGTGGCAAGCAATATATCTGTAAAAAAAAAGTCACACAAATAATAGTGTTTTTTCGCTCCTCATACCCTTAATTGAAATTGAATTGTTACGCAGACCAGTTCTTAATAATCATAACAAAGAATGTCATGCTGCTGTTCTCGTCCGATTTAGTGTAACAAGTAAAATGTTTACACTATTTATTGTTTTTCACACAATATTACAATATTCAATATTAATATTAATTAAAAAAACGAAATGGCCTCAGAAACAAAGAGCCGTAAACCTGCAAGTTAGTGATTGAAGAATTTGTTTAAGGTTTATTTCAGATAAATTATACTCTGATTTTAACCTCTAAAGAATTTGCATTGTTTTAGATACCGCCTTTAAACAACAACGATTAAAAGCGTGGCAACCTATTCTTGCACCAAATACAGTTTTACCAACTCTTTTTATCGTTGGAATCATCTTTGCGCCACTTGGTGGTTTATTGTTATGGGCTAGTAACAATGTAAATAGATATTTATCAAAGAAGAAACAAGTACATTTTCTTTTTCAATTTTTAAGTTATCATTAATTGCTTCAAACTCTTTGATCATTTTTTCCAATTCTAACAATTTAGAATCTTTTTGACCGATTAAATCATTCAATTTGTTATTTTCTTTTTTAATTATTTCTAAACCTTCTAATTCTGCTTTTTTTAATTCAATAATCTTTTCTAACTTATCAAAAACTTTTAAAAGTTCAACAATATCTTCAACTTTGTTATTTGATAAATTTGATAAATTATTATTGTCTATATTTGAATTAACCCATTCACCTATTACGCTTATTCTTTTTATAACTGTGTTGTAGTTTTCTTTCATCAAATTATATTCTTTAGTATGCAAGTTAAATTTATTCAATAGATCATCATATTCTTTTTCTTTATCTAATAATAATTGCTGATAATTATTTTTTTGACCTTGCTCATTATTTTTCACTGGTTCATGTTTCTCTTTCAATTGGCTTGTGAACTTGAAAATTATTTTTTGCTTTTCTTCTTCATGTTCTTCAATACTTTTGGTATAGAGTTTATGTAAATCTTGATACGAATTTTGTAATAATTCATACTGATGTTGTTGATCTTGCTGTTTAAGAACAATTGTCGAAGAATTAAACTTAAACAAAAGCAAAAAAAAAATAATAATAATTAATAATAATTTATTTTAAATAACAAATTCCAAGATTTTTTTACCTTATTACTATCATTTATGCTATAATCTTCAAGTATATCATTAAAATCATTCAACATATTGTTCATTTGAATTAAATTTTGTGAATCTTGCTTTGCTAAATTCAATTCTCTCTTTAAAAAAATATGAATGTTTAATTAATTAAATTTAATTCTTTATTTTCTTCTATCCTGTTTATTCATATAAAATTTGTGATACCTCTATTAAATCATAAATTGATAAATCATCGTTAAAATTTGATGATGCTGGTGCTGGTGCTGATAAGGATAACTTGGAAAATTTGATATTTTTCTAGTTGGAAATTAACAATTAGCAAAAAAAATATTAATTTATATATCAAAATAAAAACTAAGTAATTTATTACCTCGTCACTATGATCCAAGTTATTAAAATAAAGATTAGTATTAACTTAATACTTATCGTGATCAAATATATGTGTGTTGAATTAATAAGTTATACGTACTTTCTTTCTTTGTTGTAGTAATCACTAGTAATAATAATATTATTATTTATAAAAGAATCGCCGTTATCAATGTAAACAATTGCAGAAACTTTTCTAAATGTCGTCTTTGGATCTTGTTCGTTATTTATATCAATTCCAAATTCCTAATAATATTATTATTTAACAACATACGTCAAACAATCAAACATTAGTTAATCAGGCTTTTTTATACATACAAGTAAATCTCCATTATTCAATTCCACAGCATCAAATTCATCATTTTCCACACCAATTTTCCTCCCATTAAGAAAAGTTCCATTACTTGATTTTAAATCCTTAATTAACACCTTTCCTTCTACTTTCATCTCCATACTATTCTTTCTTTTTTCACCAACATTGTTACTTTTCTCAAACAAAATCTCAGCGTGAGATCTGGATAACACCTTACTATCAAAAAATCCATTAGATTCTGAGGGTGTTGTGGATTTGTTTATCGACCTACCGATTTTAATTGGTTCATTGTCATAAAGAACTAAATTTTTACGTTTAAAAGTGTCATTAAGTGGCTCCAAAGTTAAATTGATTGAAGTTGGTTGACTAGTAGGTCTGAACGATGATGACAAGTGGACCGCATTGGAAGCAGTCGAGTTTGTTGTTGTTGAGGGTATATAATTAAATGAGTTTAAAAGTCTTGATCTGCTTGATGAAGAGCCATTTGATATAGACGACGATCGTCTGATCAGTGAAGTTTTTAATGACATTGATTGAAAATTGGATTGCTTTTAAATAAAAATGAAAATTATAAGATATGCACTGATTTAAAATTAATTGTTTCAGAATTGTCTTTTTAAAAGAATTATGAAAGAATTAAAGAATTATGCAAAAAGGAAATTAAGGCAATGTTTTTTTGTTTTTCGTTTATTAATTTGTGTCACCTCAGGATTTTTATAGAAAGTTTATTTTCCAGTATATTATTAATAATATACAAGTATATTTAATATACAGCGCGGATCGTCACCAAAATTTTATTTTTACAAATCTTGAAACTTTAAGATGATCGACATATTGCCGATTATGAGAAATGAAGCTATTTTTAGTTATTTTTGTTTTTTATATATACATAGACTAGGCAACCCGTTAATCCGAAAACCTCGTTAAAATGAGTAATTTTTAAAACACCAAAGCAAACATATGTAAATCACCCCCTTTTAATATGAATGTCACCAATAAAACTTTATAAACTATAAACTGAAGAAATTTTTAAATTTTTTGAAGCCATTTATATGTAAAATTGCCCTGTTAATCCGAATTTTTATAAACTGAAATGAGGGCCAATAATAATAATATACAAGTTATACAAATACATATGTACAAAAATTACCATGGAAATAGCAAATAATAACCAGAGTAGACTTTCCTCTATATAGTGAAAACAAGAGGAAAAAAAAAATCTACTGAAAAAAGAAGTTGAGGTATCAAAAAGAAAACATACGCCTATAACAATCTCACCAAAAAATAGAAATATGCATTGAAAAAAATAAAGACAAACATAAAAAATAACCAGCTTGCATCTAAATATAATGTCTGTTTCTGAAACCTAAAAAAGAGTGATTATTTTTATCATTGAATTCAAATCAATTCACTGCAAATTCATATCATGAGAGATCAACAAAATATCCAGAAAATGGATAAAGGAAATTTCTAAATCCTAAATTTTTAAATTTATTAATAATAACTTCAGATTATAAAAAAACCCTGTTAATCCGAAGAAAAGTTCCTGCACAATTGCCTTCGGTTTAACAGGGTTGCCTATGTATATCTCATTTCTCATTTTTACCCACTCTGTGTAATAATAGGTCTGTTCATAAAAAGAAAACGGAGCATATTTAAAAGTTAGTAACGAAGAAATACCTCTTGGAAATATCTTTAAAAATCCAGGATGACCAGAAGAACATAAGATAGGAGGGTTACGATCACAATTGGTATTCATAAATGCTGAAAATGCAAGTGCTGGCAAAACAAAAAATTAATGTCTTTATATATACATTTTAACAAAATATTGCGTCTTTTTTTGAGCGCTAGTTTTATAATTTACCAGTTAGTTAATGATATTGTCTCATGAAAGTTAATATCAAATAATAACTTATGGGGTAATCCATGTTAATATTAATTATCTGAAAAAATTCTTGATCATATGTGAAGTATTGATGCCCATACAATACAAACATGTTCTATTTTCCGATATGCAAACATTATATGAAAAAAATAATATAATTATAGTTGAACTGTCTTAAAACATACTAATGATCAGAAAATAGTAATTTTTTTATAAGTTTTCTTTCCACTACTCAAATACCAATAAAACCCTTGTGAATCTTCGTCATCAGAGTACATTACACACGTATTATTTGTCTCTTCATTGTCAGAGAAATCAGAGTTAAAATTTGAAAGAATTAGATATATGATTCAAAGGGAAAGGGTTGTGACGGATTCCACTTCAACTTTCAAATCAGATAGTCCAGTCACATGTGCTTGGACATTGTTCACACCAATCACATTGACAAAAAAAATAAATTTCATAAATACACATGTAAACATGATCATATATATAAATCAGCCACCAGGCTTAACTTTCTATTTGATCTGTGATCATGTGTACTGCATAATAGAAACATATTAACTATTAATATATTGCGGAAAGTAATAAAGTATATATGGAGCATACTCAACAAAACCAGACAAAGTGAACATTGGTATTACCAAGAATTTCAGGGATCAATATTATTTATTTAATATCACAATTAACATTACCAATGCAATGTGATCAATACATTGAATGAACTCGACCCTAATAGAATAAATTAAGAATAAAATACAGGGTGTTAAGAAAAAAATGGCGGTTGGTAAAAATATTGTTTTTAATGAAAAGTAGCCAAAATTATATGATGAAAATTATAACAGAGAATCGGAGG